GCCGCCCCCGGCCTCCCCGGCCTCCCGGCGGACGCAGCGGCCTGCTGGCTCCCGTGCAAGATTTGCAGGTGCTGGGCACGAGCGGAGGCCAAGGCTCAGGCCCCGCCCCGCTGCCCTGGCTCCGCCCACCCCCAACCTGGAGGGGCCCTGGAGGGGGCTGGGGAGCCGGCTAGAGCCTGACGCTACCCCTCCCTGGCTCTGGGACCCTCTCCGGGCCTCCATTTCGCTATCAGCCCCCCGTGCGTGGGCTCGGGCTTCTAAAGTGAGCTGAGTTCAAATCACCGTGCGACCTCCTGGCGCCTCAATGTCCTCACCTGAGGAAGAGGGGCCTCCTTTGAGGGAAAGCCGCAGGGGGGAGGCGAACCCAAAGCCCACGCGTGCTTAAGTGGCACCCACCATGCAGGCTCTTTTCACCAGTCATGTCATGTCACCCTCGCCACAGCCGGAGGCCGATGGGATGGATTCTCCCTCCCACTTTCCAGATGGGGAAACTGAGGTGAGACATTCCCAGTGACGGATTTCATTTCGCAAGAGAGAGAATGGGGGGCAGTGGACTCAGAGAAACCCCGGAGAGCAAGAGGAATCAGACACAGGCACCTAATCATGCCCATCCCCTACCTGGATCAGAAGGGGAAACAGGCCAATCAGAGAAGGGTTGGCAGCCCAGCAGCCTCAGAAGCAGGGGTCTCAAACTCAGTGGCCCTCAGGGGCTGAGGAGGTAGCAACACTGGCTAGGTGGGAATGGACTAAGGAAAAGCGAGGCCCCGTGGGGTGGCCACTGCTGGTGGGCTGTGTGGGCTCTCTTGTTACATCTTTTAGAGAACTTGTTTTTCCAGGGAATCTAGGATAGGTCTGTAAAAACTTCCTTTTCAGAATCTCTACAAGTAGGTCAAGCTTTTTTTTCCCCTTCAAATATCAGGTCCAAGAAAACAGAGCCAGGGGCCACATTCAGCCTCGGGGGCCCCCAGTTTGAGACCTCCGCCCTCTTGGAGAAAGCCAGGAAGCAGAGGCCCCGGAGGGTGGTCTGGGGCAGGTTCCTGCCCAGCCCGCCAGAGGTGCTCACCACTACGGGGGGTCGAGGCGGCCGTGGGGTGACTCCACTCGCTCCAGATCCCAGCTTTCTTAGAACCGTAGATACCGAAGGGGTTGCAGCGCACTTGCACGAAGTACACGGTGCCGGGCTTCAGGCCGGCCAGGCGGCAGGAAGTCTGGTTGCTCACGTCGTCCACCACCTGGGCAGGGAGGGCAGGGTCAGAGGGCGGGGCAGGAGCCCGGGCCAGGGGCGGGGCCGAGGCGGGGCGGCACCTTCCAGTCCACGCTGTCCTCCACGCGGTAGCGGATCTGGTACTTGGCTTGGAAGAGGAAATCCTTGAGCGCGGGAGGCGAGACCCAGCGCACGCTCAGCTGGTCCTCCAGGCCCCCGACGCGGCTCACGTGCACGTCCGGCGGGGGGTCCGTGGTCACTGTGGGGTGGAGCAGGGCTCAGTCACTTGGGGGAGGGGCTCTGCTAGGACCTGACCGGTCCCCTGGCACGGCTGGGTTCAGCGGCCCCCCGGCAGCGGGGCCCGTCCTCCCTCTGCCCCCACCTCCAGCACTGGTGGGCTACAGGATATAATATTTGGAAAACACTCAGCACCTAATTAATGTTAGCTGTTATCACCATTATTATCTGTGACGGGAGAAACATAATCCTATCTTTAAGGAACTATGTCAAGGTAGACCCTGCCTGGCTGATGATATTATTATTGCTGTGCCCAGAAGGCTGGGGGCTGTCAGGCCACAGGCCCCCTCGGAAGCCCCCTGCTGCGCCCCCCCCAACTGCCAACTTCCAGTTCCTTCCCATTTTCCCAAACTCCTTGATGTGACACTTTGCTGGATGCAGAGGAAGAACTGAGCCTTAGAACTTTCTTGATATAGTTTCAGGAAGGCAGGCTGGGGTTGGGGGTGCAACCAGGAATCTGGGGGGGGTTGAGGGTCCTTCCTGGGTCCTGGTGGGCGGCAGAACAGGATGGCCTCTACCCCTGAGGCCTTGGTGAGGGGCCGAAAGGGTTAAGGCACAAGCCTGCTTGGGGCTGAGAAACACCCTAATTAGATTAGGCCCAATTCTGCTCGCAGATCATCCATTTCCTGCCTCCCGCCTGCACCCCCAGCTCCAGGCCCTGGCTTCCTGGGGCGCCTCCCGACCTGGGCGCCCCCTCCCCTCTCCCCAGGGCCCCCTCCTGCACACCTGGGTCGCCGAGGGGGAGGCGGCCAGGCCAGGTGTTCTCTGCAGAGTAGGGGGATCCTGGCCATTTCAGGGGGCTGCGGACACCCAGCTACCTACCTTCCCGCCAGCCAGCGGGGACAGGTGTGGCTGGGGGGACAGACGGGACCCCGGAGAACAGAGAAGATGCTCGGGATGCCAGTGAGCCAGGCTGACTCTGGGGAGGGGCCTAGCAGACACGGGGGGCTCACCCACGTCCAAGATGTCCAGTGTGAGCACGTCGGAGCGGGCCGAGCCCAGGCGGTTGGTGGCCTCCACCCAGATCTCGTAGGGCGTGAAGAGAGCCAGGTCCTTGGGGACGTGGCAGGAGTGAGGCCCCACGGTGTGGTACTCCTCGCATGTATTGTCCTGCCCGTACCACCTGCAGGGACGGGAGAGGCACCAGGGCACAGGAGGGTCCCTTTTGGCCCCCAGACCTCCCTGCGGCAGCCCTGGGGGTGCAGATGGGATGTGGGGGCCGAGGTCACACAGCCAGCCTGGGCCCATATCACCCTGATGCCACACCAACCTCAGCTTGTATTTGAGGGAGTAGTTGGTGTGGAGGAACGTCTCCCCGTGAGCCCCGGGCGTCCAGCGGCAAGTCAGGTCCTTCATGTTCTTGGACCAGCAGCTGATGTTGAAGGGTTTCTCTGGGGGCACTGGGAGAGGGGAGGGTGCAGGGGGCTGAAGGCCTGGGCCCGCCGGGTGGTCCCCACCTGGGAGTGCAAGGAGGGTGGGCCGGGCCGTCTCAGCCCATCCTCAGAGAAGCCGCCTGTAGGTAGGGGTTTTCTTGAGGACTGTGAGGAGCGTCTTCATGCTCGGTCCCGCCCTGGGGACCCGCACAGCCGTGCCAGTGTGCCCACCGCTCAGCCCCAGGCCTCGCGCCCCTCTCCAGAGGGAGATGCTGCCCCCCGAGAGCTACCCTGGGGTCCTGGGGGCCCACTTACGGCCGACATAGAGGCAGGAGCCGGCCAGGATGCTGCCATCACGGGCGTGACACACGAGGTTGTCCCCCGACTGCTGCCTGGAGCCGTTGAGGTTGGCCAGGGCGAGGGCCAGGGTGGAGGCGTTCAGCACCCGGGAGAACTCGGGGGGCAGGCGGCGCCCATTGAGGGTCCAGTAGAGGCCCTCAGCAGTGGCCCCAGGCGGGTCCCCAAGCACCGAGCACGTGGCCTGCAGGGAGGAGCCAATGAGGAGCGTGGGATCCTGGGGGCTGATCACGGCAGTGTCTGGGGTCAAAGAGGAGCACCTGTCAGGCCTGGGGCGGGGCTGCCCCGAGCCCCCCCCCAACCTTGCCAGGACCTCCAGAGCTCACGCAGTCCTGAGAAGGAGCTGTTTATTATTCTCCCCATTTCATAGATAAGGAAAACCAAGACCCAATGAGGCCAAATGCACAGTCCAAGGCTGGTGGCAAAGCTGAGACAAACCCCAGGCTGCCAGACTGCACAATTCAGATCCTTCCAAGTGACTTCATCCCTACTCTTGCTCAGGGCTCTCTGAGTGGTCTCAGAACTCATCCACAGGCTGCGAGCAGTGGTTCGCCTGTAATCCCGGCCCCCTTTGGGAGGCCAAGGTGGGAAAATTACTTAGGGTGGGAGTTGGAGACCAGCCTGAGCAATATAGCAAGACTTCTACATCTGTACAAACAAACAACAACAAAAACTCAGGCAAAAATGCCCTTTGGGTCCAAGTGACTCTTCCTTTGCACACAGTTCTGACAAACACTATACTGTTTCTTAATTTTTCATTTTAACTTCTTTTTTCTTTTTTGGCAGTTAGAAGTAAAAGATTATGAGTTCTTTCTGTGATGCTCCCAAAGCCTCTATAATTAGGTCACTTTTTTTTTGAGTCAGTGTCTCACTCTGTCACCCAGTCTAGAGTGCAATGGCATACTCACGGCCACCGCAGCGAACTGATGGGCTCAGGCAATCCTCCCACCTCAGCCTTCCAAGTAGCTGGAACTACAGGTGCACATCACCATGCCCGGCTAATTTTTTTTTTTTTTTTTTTTAATTACAGAGACAAGGTCTCGCCATGTTGCCCCGGCCAGCCTCGCACCCATGGGCTCAGGCAATCCTCTCACCCCCACATCCCAAAGTGCTGGGATGACAGGCATAAGCTACCGCACCCAGCAAGAGAGGTCACTTCTAAAAAGGAGAATCCTGTTCCCTACTAGATGAATCATTAAGAACGCCATTTATTCTAAATACTGGGCTAAGGGTTTGCTGCATGTTCTCATCAAATCCTGCTCACTTTATGGACGAAATAACCATTATCAGGCAAGATCAAGCTTCCTTGCCCAAGGTCACTGAATGAGGAGGGAAGGGCACACTATTTAGCCCAGGTGTGTTGGTCTCTGTCCTGCCTGCCACGACAGCTGCAGGACCGCATCCCATCCAAAGGGACTTCACAGTATTCATTGTTCTGTCCCTGGGTTCAGTCTTCCGAATCTGTAAGGAGGGGATGAGAAAGCTCTTTGTCTCCCAGGCTATTGTGAAGGTCAGATGGGAAGAGGCTTTCCAAACTGGGTTTGGGTGTGAGTTGAGTGCTGGGCACAGGGGCCTCAGGGACACCCTGTGGCCGGTCCTTCTTTGCTGCCAGCCATCAAGGCAGATCCTCCTCCTGAGGATCAAAACCTAAGAGGCCTGGCAAGGTGGCTCATGCCTGTAATCCCAGCACTCTGGGAAGCTGAGGTGAGAGGACTGTCTGAGGCCATGGGTTTGAGACCAACTTGGTAATATGGCGAGACCTCATCTCTACAGTTAAAAAAAAGAATTAGCAAGGCGTGGTGGCACAAGCCTATAGTTCCAGCTACCTCAGCAGGCGAAAGGATCCCCTGAGCCCAGCAGGTGAAGGCTGTGGTGGCTGTGAGCACACCACTGCACTCCAGACTGGGCAACAAGAGTGAGACTCCAACTAAAAAATAAATTAAAAAATAATAACCAAGCCGGGCTCGGTGGCTCAGCCTGTAATCCCGCACTTTGGGAGGCTGAGGTGAGTGGATCACCTGAGCCCGCGGGTTTGAGACCCGCCTGGGCAACTTGACAAGACCTCATCTCTACAAT